CAACTTGTTCAACAAGTTGCACAAATGTGTCTTAGCTATTCTTGGCTCTTTGTATTACCATATACATTTTATGGATAATCAAATTTTAAACAAACCTTCTGCAGTTTTTATGGGAAAAACACAATGCCTACACATCAATTCAGAGAGAAATTATTTTCTTTTTAAAACTTAAGTATTTCAATACAATTTATTCCATTTATTTAAGTCTTCTCTAATGTTTCTCACTAAAGGTCAAATATCTTTTGTTAGATTTATTTCTTGGTATTTTACACTTTTCTGATACTACTGTAAATGTATATATCATTTTTAAAATTTCATTTTCTATTTGGTTGTCTGTGACATAGGAATAATTATGCTTTTTGTGTATTGAATTTTTAAAATCTACACAGTTTGCTAAACTGAGTAATCACAATTCATACATTTTATTCTCTTTTCTTGTCTTTCTAAGCCAATTAACACTTCCAATACAACTGCAATGAATTGAAGAGAGCCAGCATTTTCATGTAGCCATCAATGTATCACCATTAATCGCAATGTTTGATGTAGGCTTTTTGTAGATACTTTTTACCAGATTAAGGAAGTTCTCTGGTATTGCTAGTTAACTAAGAGGATGGCTTTTTTAAAAAAAATCATAAGCAGATGCTGAATTTTATCAACTGCTTTTTTCCCCTGCCACTACTGAGATGATCAAATGGATTTACTTCTTTATTCTACACTGAATTTAAATGTTAGATTTTGAACATTAAACAAACTTTAAATTCCTGGTATAATTTCAACTTGTCCAAGATTTAACTTCTGTTTACATATTGCTTTTGGGTTCATTGAGAATTTTTGATCATCATTTTTTCTCTCCTTTTAGTAATTTGGAAATTACAGCATTGGTTTCAATTCTTCCATTGGTTACTCTATAAATTGCATCTTGTATATTTAACTTATGAAAATGTAAACTTAATGGTTTTATTCCTCTTCCAGATAATTCAAAGAAACTTAAACTACTTGAATTTTATTGTTCTGTATTTTTTGACATCTTTATTGAGGTATAAATGATGTAAACTATACAGTTTTGCAGCATACAATCTGATGAGTTTTAAATAGTCTACACTTGTGAAACCATCTATGGAATTTGGATGTGCTGTCCTCTCCAAAACTCATGTGGAAGTTTGACCCCCAATGTGGCAGTGTTGGAAACTGATTGAGTCATGGGGGCAGATCCTTTATGAATGGATTAATGCTCTCCCTGGGGGAGGGGGGTTAATGAGTGAGTTCTCGCTCTGTTAGTTCCTGCGAGAGCTCGTTGCTTAAAAAGACCCTGGCACCTTCTCTCTCTCTTGCTTCCTGTCTCCATGTGATCTGCTTGTACCCACCAGCTGCCTGCCACTTTCCACCATGAGTAGAAGCAGCCTGAGGCCCATGCCAGATGCAGCTGTCCCAGAATTGTAAGCCAAGTAAACCTCTTTCCTTTATAAATTACCCAGTCTCAGGTATTTGTGTTATAGCAACACAAAACAGACTAAAACACCATCACTACAATCAAGATACTGAATACTGTATCCATCACTCCCAAAAGTTTCCCTATGCCCCTTTATAAACAAACTGTCTATACTCTCCTACCCTCTTACCAGGCGACCACTGATCTGCTTTCTGTCACTATATTTCTATTTTTCATTTTCTGGAATTTTAAATGAATTGCTCCATACAAATGTTTTATTTATTTTTGTCTGGCTTCTTTTACTCAGCATAATTATTTTGAGATTCATCCTTGTCTCTGTAAGAATAATCCATTCCTTTTTATTGCTAAATAGTATTCCACTGGATAGATAGAGTAAAGTTTATCCACTTCCCTCCTAAAGGTTATTAGGGTTTTTTCTAGTTTTGGGCTCTTAAAAATAAAGCTTCTGTGAACATTTGTGTACAAGTCTTTGTGTGAACCCATGCTTTTATTTACGTTGGGTAAATACCTAGAGTGGAAGACCAAATCATATAGATTTAGATAAAATCATATAGTATAGATTTTAAAATTTTCTTTTAATTTTCAAAATATTTTTCAAAGTGGATGTATAGTTTCCATGTTCACCAGCAATGAGAGTTCTAACTGCTCCACATCCTTGACAACACTTGATATGGTTGGCCTTTTTAATTTTAGCCATTCTAGTGAGAATATATGGTTTCTCATTGAGATTTTAATTTGTATTTCCCTAAAGATTAATGATGTTGAGCATCTTTTATGTTATTGTTTGTCATCTGTGTATCCTCTTTAGTGAAGTGTCTGTTCAAATAGTTTGCCTATTTTTAAAAACTGGGTTACTTTAGCATGTGACTAAGTTGTAAGAGTTCTTTATACATTCCTGTAGGGAATCCTTTGTTAGATTGATTTTGCGAATATTTTCTCCTACTCTGTGGCTTGCCTTTTTGTTTTTTCTTTAACATTTTAATGAGTAAAATTTTTTAACTTTCATGAGGTGTAATTTGTTATTTTAGAATCTTTGTCAAACCTGAGGTCATTAAGATCCTCTCATATGTCTTATTTTAGAAGTTCTGTAGTTTTAGCTATTACATTGAGGTTTCCGATCCATTCCAAGTTAGTTTTTATAAGAGGTGTGAGGTAAAGATTGAAGTTAATTTTTTGCTTAGAGCTGTCCAATTGTTTCAGCACCATTTCTGGAAAAGATCATCTTTACTTACTGAATTGCCTTGATACCTTTGCCAGAAATCAATTCACTGTATATGACCTACGGGGTCTGTTTCTGAACTTTATATTCTATTCCATCAATTTATGCTTATCTGTATACCGATACCACTTTACCTTGATTATAATAGCTTTACTGTGAGTCTTGACACCAAATTGTCAGTCCTTCAACTTTGTTCTTTTTCAAAATTGTTTTAGCTATTCAAAGTCCTATGGATATCCATATAAATTTTAGGATGAGCTTGTTGATTTCAACAGAAAAGCCAGAAGTTTGATTGGAATTGTATTGAATCTGTAAGTCACTTTGGAGATAACTGACAGCTTAATAATATGCATGTTCTGAATCATGATCACAGCGTATTTTTCCATCTATTTAAGTCTTTAATTTCTCACTTAGGCCACTCAGCCTAGGAATTATAGCAAGGTACAAAATTATTTCACATACTTTCACAAAAGCCAATCTAAGGATACAGTCACTCCATATTTCATCTTACCTATACTTACTGATTGTGCCTTTTTACTACCAGCTGTTGACTTTTTACACTAGCCTTTTAATAAACCAGAAAATAATTTGCATTGGGGAATGGTAACAGACAGGCATGCAACAAAAACCTTTCGGTGGGAAGGTTTTTAATTTTTTACAGAAGAACTGTGGTCAACTCCATTTTCTCCCATTCCCCCTTGTCAGTGCAACCACAAATCCTGATTTCTGGAAAAAAGCAGTATAGCAACAATAAAAGGAAGCCCAAATAGCAACAAAGCCAGCCTCCCTATGAATGAATAACAGAATGCCCTGGGGAGAGGGGCTGCAAAACAGTGACCTTGCTGGGCCTAAAGGAGGTATACCATGAAAACCTCGGTCACAAGAAGAACCTCGAACCCACGTCCTCTACTGAAAACATGAAGCCCCAAACTAGTTCTAAGCATCCTGAAGGCTCTTGTGCTGTTGGGAGGTTTGTTTTGCAGCCTCTTGCTGCTTGGCAACAAGCTTGGGGCTCAACAAACTTTTAAACGATAAAATAAAACATGATTGGTTCCCCTGTGAGCAATACAATAGCACCCGTTAAATGCTTACAGTTAAAATAAAGACACAAAGTCATTCAAAGAGTAAGGGGTCTGCTCCTCCTACAGGCACAAATTCATTGAGTGAGTAGTTTCATTTCTTCTCTATTGTTGCTAACAAACTCACAATATAACATTTGCTTCCCACTCTATAAAAACAGTTTCAATTTTCATGACAATATGCACATTCACTTTGTTTTTGGAAGCAAAGCCTGGGCTTTGGAGGAATGACAGAAGACGGAGGAGGATGGGGTACAAGAAATCGATCAAGCAGACTCAAATAACGGACACTATTTTTATATGTCAGGTATTAAAAGTAAAAGGTTCGAAATAACATATTTGTTAACACATGGTTTTTGTAAGTAGCCAACCATAATATTTTTCACTGCCTGCATTCCCAAGTTGGTCTCATAGAAGGCTTTATTGTAAGCCAGGAGCATTGTTTTGCATTAATTTCTATGACAAGGAACCCAAAACACAGGGTGCTGAGAGTAACAAAACAGAGTAAGGGAAACAGTCATGACTTGGCACAAAGTGTGACAAGCTGTAAAAAAGCAAATGTTTCAATATCTGAAGTGGTGTTGATTTCCTATGAACAACCTTTTCTCTTCTAAACAGTCTCATATTCTTTTCAAGCACATTTAGAACGCAAGTCAAGCTGTGTTTTATTTTTTATTATAATAAACACAGTCAGTTTACTGTAACAAAGACATGCTAGTGGTGATAAGATGAAAACCAAAGTACACCCCCATGAGCTGGGTGGGGGGACCTGGGGGCGGGGAGTCAACTGATAAAATAAAAGACCAGCCGTCTGGAAAGTTCTCCTAAAAGAACATAAAAAGGCAGTGTTTTCTTACAAGACTAACACAGAATGCCAAAATATCTAGCTGGGCTCTTTTTCTGTTGTCACTTATGGCAAATTGTAACTAAAAATAGCAAATACTTCAAAATATTGGGCTTTCATATTTTTTTTTATCTCTATAATAAAATGCAAAAATTTTGTACATTATTTAAATGGGAATACTATTTCTTATGTAACACTCTACTACCCAGTAAGTATATTTGTTAAAGTACTACTCAAACTGTTATCTTAAAAATAATCATTTGAAAATGTGATTATGCATGCACTTAGATTTTTGATAAAGGTGAAATAAATAGTTCACAGTAAACGGCTACAAATAAAGCTTATAAAACTTTCATGACTAAATTAAATTCCTGAATTCAAATTAGGGAATAATGTAAATCATCTTACCATATCTTGAACTAATGATTTTTCATAATCAAGTTCATATTTTAACCTTTCTCTGCCATCTATTAACTGAAATAGAGAAAAAAATTATTTTGATTAAAGATAAGAATACCCGAAATTCCTCCTGAACAGAATTTAGTGAAACATATTTTGATAGGAAAGGGAAAATTAAATTTCTACAGATTATCATGTTATAATAATATATTATTACAAAATTATTATGTAAGCAAGCAAAATATACCTGGAAAACGCCAATTTATTTGCAACCTTCCTCACCCTACCCCCCAAAACGTGACATCAATACATGATAAATCAAATCCTAATCTGTCAAAAAGAACAATTTTGCTTTACTCTTTAGGCAACGCATTTCTCTTATGTTAGGTTTTCATATATCAAACCATATTTATACTGATTGAAATTATTGCAGGGCCGTTGTCCCCATGCAACTTGCCTCACTATTTTAAATAATTGTTTACTATTTGTGTGTGTTTTATCTAGTGGTAAAATTCAACACTGGGTTTTGACATTCATTCAATTTGATTCTTGTATTTATTAATTTAATAAATAACCTCAGTATCACTGTCCTTGCTGTTTCAGGACTTTATAGTTTCCTTGATTTATCCAAGTGACAACTTAATGGACCTCTCTGGCTCCAGATTTTCCTCCCTCCCATTCATTTTTTTTTTGAAACACAAATCTGATCTACTACAATGTGCAAGTCTCCCCAATTCACTCGGAAGATAATTCAAACCCCCTGTGTGAATCATAATCCTCTGTGATTGTGCCCTACACCTTGCCAACCCCGCTCTCACGTACCCTTCAGCTATAGCAAACCACACACACTTCCCTATGCAAGGTACTTTCTCATGGTACTTAGAATACTCTTCCCAACTCTACCTTGGCCCTTTCCTGACTAATGCTAACCCCTCTTCTGGGACTCAGCTCAGTATCCTTCCTCCAACCTTCCCTGATCCCTGACAATCCAGTCTGGGGGTGCATTCTATGTGCCCCACAGCAAACTGCATTTCTCTGCATCCCGATGCTAGCTCACCTGTAGTGTGAGCTCTGACTACTACTGGTCTGTCTCCCTACCAGGATGAAATTCATGAGAACGGGTTATATTGTGGCAGCAGCTGGAAGACAGACACAGATACATCTGCTACTAGATTTGGAATTAAAACACAAAAGCTACTGAATTCCGTAACTGATAGTGTCCTGATAGATGGACAGAGGTCAGCCTACACAATTCCAGTCCCATTTCCAACTTGTTTTTAATTGTGTCTGGGGCTAAAAAGGGGAGCATGTGGCTTATCCAAAGGCTTCCGGATTGTCCCTTTTCCTTCTTCCGTTTCCTGCTCACCCCTGCCCTGCACCCTCAGTCTTCCCCTTCTTCCTGCCCCACCACAAATTCTCACCATAGTGTCTCATCAGACTCCTACTTTGTCCTCTGGCTGTAGCAAAGCAGAAACAGTTCCACAAGCTCTTTCACCGTATGCATTCACATTCTGCACCTAGCTCTTCTACCCTCTTGCCCACCTGAAAAAAATCAGCTCGACTGGAGGAGAGTGTGAGAAAAATCATGGAACTGTTTGTGAAGGCTTTCTAGAAGATTCCAGATGAAGCCAGCCATCTCTTCTCTATGTACACACTTCTATTACAGTCCCTACTATCCTACCCCATGATTTTTGTCTATCTCTCTAGGCCTGACCTCCTCCACAGCAGGGGCCATATGCATATACATGCATTTTATTTTTCTAGCAGTAGTGCAATGCCTAGCACTTAAAAGCATCTAGTAAACATTGCTGAATTAATTTATTTAGTGAAGGATATTGGAAGCCAACTAGCAAATATCAGCTCTCATTTGTCCAACAATGTCTGATCTGCTTTCCAGCTAACAAAGCACTTTCACGTACATGATCTCATTCTTTCCACACAGTAAGTCCGGGGGAACAGGAAGGAGGGACATAAAGGACTGGCCCAAGGAGATGTAGCGGCAGAAATAGAACAGGAACCTGGGCTTCTAGATTCTTTCAGCTAAATACTAAAATGTGCCTACATTTAATGTTGATGTGGAGTTCCAGAACACACTAAGAAAAAGAGACAGGACTTAAAAGAATAATCAAGGAGATTAGAGGTCTGCTGTATTTGTTTAGAACAGAGCTGTCAAATAGAAATATAATGTGAGTTATCTATATAATTTGAATTTTATAGTAGCCTTGTTAAAAAAGTAAAGGTCAGGCAGAGAAAAAGAAATACCACATGTTCTCACTTATTGGTGGGAGCTAAAAATAAATAAATAAATTCACTCACATACACACACACAAAAAAAACCGGAGGGTGGGGAGAAGATATAACAACTACAATTTTTTGAAGTTGTTACAACATGCAAACAGAAAGGACATTCTTGGGTGGGAGCGGTGAGAGGGAGGAGGGAGGGAGGTTTGGGTGATGGGCCATAATAATCAACTACACTGTATATCGACAAAATATAAATTTAAAGGAAAAAAATAAAAATAAAAAGTAAAGGAAGCAGGCAAAAGTAATTTTAATACTATATTTTACGTATCCCAATATACATCCAAAATATTATCACTTTCATGTGTAATGAATATTAAAAATTATTACTGTGATATTTTGCATTTTTATACTAAGTCTTTGAAATCCACTGTGTAATTTTCACTTATAGTACCTCTCAATTTGGGACCTAATTTTTTTTCTTTTTGGCGGTTGGCTGGTAAGGGGATCTGAACCCTTGACTTCAGTGTTATAACACCATGCTCTAACCAACTGAACTAATTAACCAGCCCACTGGGAGCTAAATTTTTATTGGAAACATTTTATCTGTATTTAGATTTCATAAAATTTACAGATAAAAAAGTAGAATTACATACCCAAGTTATTGAAAATATACGTACATAAATTTTTCCAATAACTGAAGCAAGTATCAGTTTTTAAATTTAAAATAATTAAAAGTTAAACAATTAAAATACAGTCCCTCAGTTGCACTGGCCCCATTTCAAGTGTTCAATAGCCACATGTGGCCAGTGGCTGCCACTGGGCAGTATTGATCTAGAAAGCTCAGGCATCACTTAATTGACATAGTCAAGCTCACCCAGGGTATAACCTACCATTCCTAGGACATGTTTCTTTCTAACTAGTGTCTTAACAGTAACATTTTTTGCTTTAATTTCTCACTGTATTCCTCATAGAGAGTAGGAAGCTTTTGCAACTCATTGCTACCAGTGGTAGTATAGACTGAATAGCCTTAGAAACATTTAAAATAAAGAAACTGGTCATGGCTTCCTGGTAGGTTATTAAATGAAACTGTTGTGCTGAGATTTCATTTTTAACCTAAGAGGTTGATGCCAAGAAAGTTAATTAAACTTGCTTGTTCATAGAGTCCCTGTTGTTATCTCTATAAGAATAAAATTTACGTTGTCACCATTACAAACGGAGTGAAGCAGAAGAAAATGAAATCATTTTGTAAAAACCTGTGACAAATTCAGTTAGCAGAGAAAACACCTCCCAACTCTGACTCATCAGGATAATCATTAATTTTTAAAAAAAATGTGTTTAGAAGTAATTTTTTCTAAAACCTAAGAATATCCTGAACTGCAAAATCAGACCTGGTTGAAATTTGACCCTAAACTTAAGGTACATGTGCCAACTTAGCTCTTGAAATGTCCCTCGAGTGACTGAGGAACTCAATTTTTAATTTTGTCTAATCTTAATAAATTTTAACTTAAAGATTGATACTCAGTTCAGTTACTTAAAAACATTTATGTTTATCATTTATGTTTATCAATAATTTGGGGATGTAAATTTGCTTTTTCATTTGTAATTTTATGAACTCTAAATGCATTCTCCTTCTGTCAGTCAATCGCAGGGTATTTTTCCGTGTTGCAGGCGCTGTGCTCAGCAGTTAGGGATATATCAGAGACAGAGCAGCCTCTGCCCTCGTGGAGCTTACAGACCTCACCGTCTGCTACAGTCCTGCAGAAGATGCACTCGGAAATCTTGATTTCCATGATGTCAAGATAATAATCTGCTCTAAATAAAGATTTACTGGATAACATAAGCCCAGTTTATTCATATACAATAAAATGAACATCAACCAACATTTGATATGAAAATGAAACTACTTGTTCCTAATAATAAAAATTTCTCCACAACCACAGGCACATCTTTGGACTTCCCTGTGTCATGTAACTTTTCGGTTCTTTATAATCAATAAGGTAGACACTGAATTATCCCAAATAAAAAAGTTTCTATACATCATTGAGTTTTCAAGATGGAATCCTTATTCATTACTAGCCACCCTACCCAAATAATGAGGAGACATTAAATACGTAAATCAACTTTTCTGTATATCATAAGACACTCCAGATGCAATGCTATTTCACCAGTTGTGCTGATATTTCCATTTAAATGAGTCATTTATCAATGTAAAAATGTTACAGTACCTTTTGAATAGTTCTCTGATCCTTTTCTGCCATCTCTTTCAGAATTAAAAGTTCATCTTCTGTAAACAAAAGGAGAGAGAGGCCAACCATGAAATTACATGCTTAAGCCCCTGTATTCAAACTGCCTGCTTCAGGGCAGGCTGTGAGCCACCGGCAGGCATGGTGGACGAAAGTCCTAGCAGGACTGTGACCTTCACAACTGCCCTTGACATTCACAGACTTCTTCCTGCTGTTCCGACGGCTGGTCAGATAGAGATTAAGAAGTAAGTTCAAGATCCAAGTGTGGCTGGGGGCTGAAAGCTTTTCATCGATACTAGCAATGGACATTTTGCTTTTAGTCACAGCCAATACAAAGTACTTTAGCAGGTGGTACTTTATGACTCAATAAGAACTACCAAAACCTGAAAAAGCATTACTATGCCACATCAGAAGGGAAATGGAACCACAGTGGCAAGGTATCATTTTATATTCAAGGCACACTATAACATATATCATTTTATCAATGGTTTGCTATAAAAGTTTCTGTTGCTTGCCCATTGCTTTTCACGCTGCAGATGAAGGGCAGCATTACATGATGGAAGTACTTTAGCAGGTGGTACTTTATGA